ATTTACAGAGCTCTCCACGATCTGTGCCCACTCCCACGGGGTCATCCACCCACCTCTTCTCCTGACTTCTGTGTTTCTGATCTTCCCATTTTCCTTCTTTCTGACCTCTGACCAGTAAGTCAAGCCAGTCACCACTGCTCATGATGCATGGATATTCTGACTTCAAGAAGCCACTTCTCTTTCCACAGGAAGTGGATGGCCAGGTGCCCTGCCCAAAGCCCTGCCCCCTGGGAGGACTTGCCCTCACCACTGTCTCTCCGGGATACCTTTGAGCAGGCTATAGTTCAGTCGCTGACCGGTTTTCACTTTCAAACTCCGAGCCAACTCATTCTGCAACCAACCTTGGGCATTTTTCTCCGTCGCCAGAAAGTTATCAGGGACCCGCCCATGTGGCCACGGTGTAAGCTGAGGGATGCGCCCTGGTGCACCAGCAGGGGATGACATGAGGGTCTGGGCCACTTATTCCTAGAGCCTACCAGAGCCCCCGGCTCTGCTCACACCTGCCCCTGTACTGAGACCAGCTCAGTCGTAGAGACCCCAATCCACGTGGTGCTGAAGGAATTAAGAAACAGACACAGCAAAGTGGAACTATCAAGAGACTAACAGCATTCCAGGCTGAGAGCCTTGAGCAGACTCTGACCCAAGTACTTATTCTCTCTGAACACGTGATTATTATTAACAAACAGGTATTCTGTGTTTTCTCATAGAACAAAAATAAACCAGGCAAACAACTGATGCCTGCCTACCACTGATCAAAGACAAACTAAAAAGTATTCTCCAGGCTGGACGCAGTGGCTCACACCTGTAATCCCAGCACTTTGGGAGGCCGAGGCGGGCAGATCGTGAGGTCAGGAGTTCAAGACCAAACTGGCCAACATGATGAAATCCCGTCTCTACTAAAAAATACAAAAATTAGCTGGGCATGGTTGCTTGTACCTGTAATCCCAGCTACTTGGGAGGTTGAGGTAGGAGAATTGCTTGAACCGGGACCCTGGAGATCAGGGTTGCGGTGAGCCGAGATCGCACCACTGCACTCCAGCCTGGGCTACAGAGTGAGACTCCATCTCAAAGAAGAAAGAAAGAAAGTATTCTCCAGGAGGGAGCCACAGGGGCAGGGTCACATATCCCCTGCTTAAAGAATTGTTTTAACTGCTGTATGATATACATATTCTGTTTGCTACTTTAGAATGCCCCAAGCAGTTTTCCACTTGTGGGGCCGGCTCGGTTTTCCTTGCCATGGTTCTCAGCAAACTATATAACTTATCATACGCATTAATTAGGACTTGTCCCACACTGCCGGATGTACCACTTTCAAAGGACTGCTGTTAGGCTTGCTTGACCTTCTGACTTAGTGGGTCAGATGGACCCATCTGGGCTGCTTAGTTACGTGATGTTCCATGGGCTGGCACTCTATCTCTGCCAGGACCCAGTGCCATTCCAGGAACTGTTTTCTGCATAATATATAATTCTCTGCTGCAGGTGGCCTGGCCTTCCTCCGGAACCCTTGGGGGTCTACACTGCTTTCTTCCATTGGGACCCACCATAAATTGCACATGGAGTCTTTCCCATCCCCGATACTGCTAATATCCCATAGGGTCCACCAGGTGGCACGGCCCACGCGGGCCCTCGTACCATGGCATACACCTGCTGCAAATCCTTTCTGGCAGTGGCTCTCACAGCTGGCAGCCCTGCATGTCAGTCAGTGGGGTGGGGGTGGGGGTACGGGTGGGAGTGGCTTTCCCAGGGCTAGAATAGGCTGCCTCAGAGCTCAAAGAGACCCACCAGGTGACTGTATTTCCTGCTAAGCGGTGGAAGACACAATAGGAACACATTTGTCCTTGACTTTGGAGGAGCTGTCCCGGAAAGGATGGCACTATCTAAAAGCTTCGCTGATGCGGCAAGTCCCCAAGTCATCGTCGGGCTCCTCTCCCACTATCTGACCCAGGCCACTTCCATCACGTCTGGTTCAGTTAACACGCTGTCACCGTATGGTGAGCCACTGTGGATCCTGAGTCAGGATCGTTGGGCTATGTTATGAGAGCAGGCTGGAGGGTTCCCGTAACCCGGGGGCCAGGCCTGTCCACCCCACGTGGATGCCGACTGTTCCTGGGCCTCCTTCCCAATGAGCACACACCCTTTGCAGGGCCCCGTTCCTCTGCTCTGGCAGACACCACATCTGGCCGGCAGCTGCAGCTGGGGCTTCCTCGGTTGGTTTGTAGTCGTCTGTGGCCATCCTCCCAACTGGAGACGTGCTTGGGGGTGGGGTGAGGGCCACGGCTCCTGCATCCTTTAGGTCCCCAGCATGGCACTCACACCTGCCTTTCCCCTCAGGGCATCGTTCCTGATTTACTCTCTTAGCTGTGGGGATGATGGGTCAGCTTCATGGATTTCCCAATAGCTATTCCCACTACAAGGATCCTGACCCCATGAGCCAAGGTACCAGTGTGGAGTCAATACCAAGGACATCCATTCCAATTCTATGTCTGTAGACCAGGAAACTGACCAGGAAACAAATCAAGCAGACCCCTGGCGAGCCGGACCTGGCCAGGGCTTCGTTCACCACCTGGTCTCTACGTGCCCCCACTCAAAGGTGGCCTGGAGAACACTTCAGTCTCAAGTGCTGCTGTCAACTTGGATCCTCTGTCCAACAAGCCTCAGAATGTTGGGATATTCCCCTTTCCCCAGTGGACAGTTACCGCAGTGAATGGCCACAGGTGTTTCTAGGGAAGAACCAGGGAGTCACTGCCATAGACACTTGCCACAGCGTTGCAGGACTCTTCCTTCGGGACCCAGCCTCTCTTTCAGTCTGGAGGTTCTGGATCTGAAAAGTGATGCAGGTCCTGAAGCCAGGCAAGGGATCTTGGCTTTTTATTGCAGTGGCTGCCCTTGGTGGGGGAACTCTCAGGTGAGGCAGCTCCCTTTGGCTGAGGCTGGTTCCTGGGGAGGGACTTGGCTGTGAGCGATCAACAGGCTCCACTCACACCAGCTGGGGGGTGATGGCACCTTGGTCCTGACGAGGACAGCCTGATGCCCACGGCACCCATTGTATGCATGTTGGACTCAGCACGTGTTGGATTCTTGCTGGGTGTTTGAGAAAGTCTAGCTCTTTTCTTCCCGACAGCTGCCCTCTGAGGTAAGGGTTATGGTCCACATTTCGCAGACAAGGATGCCGTGTTAGCTATGTCTCTGGTTTCGCTGCTTAAAGACACTCAGAGTAACAGCGACCTAAACATTCTCAAAGCTGATTTCTCCCTCACTGAGAAGTCCAAGCAGACCGGTGGTCCAGGTGAATGTGATGAGTCTCCGCACCACTGCCTGGGGACCTGGGCTCCATCCAGCCTGGTGCCCTGCCACCTCAGCACGAGCCTTCATCTCAACATCCACAACTGCTTATCACGAGAGGGAGAAGCTGGGAAAGGGAGCGCTCAACATTCCCTCTTCACTCATTTGGGGGAAATGATGTCTAACCTTGTAAAAACCTTGAAAAAATGTGGCCAGGCACTTCCTGAAGCTGGAACTTGAAGTCAGTGAGGATTTGGGCAGGCAGGCAGGAGAGGACATCCCGGAGCACAGGAGCTGCCTGGGCAAGCATGGGGAAGCGGGGCTGAGTCCTAGATGGCTCTGGGGCAGGAAGGAGCTGGCAGGCTGGACTGGCAGGCTCTCGTTGGGAATGGCAGGGAGTACGGCTGGCTGCCAGGGCTGGAGAGGTTGTGGAGGCCCCAGGCTCAGGATGAGGACACTCTCTCTCTCTCTCTGAGTAATAGGGAGGACATGTTACTCAGAGGAGAGTATTGTGAATGAAACAGAAGCCACCATGGAGATGGGATAGCAGACCCAGTTGTGGGCATCATCATAGCACCTGCAATAGAGCACCAGCACACACAAGTCTTTTTTTTTTTTTTTTTTTTTGAGTTGGAGTCTCACTCTGACACAGGCTGGAGTGCAAATGGCGCAATCTCAGCACACTGCAACCTCCACCTCCTGGGTTCAAGCAATTCTCCTGCCTCAGTCTCCTGAGTAGCTGGGACTACAGGCGTGCGCCACCACATCCGGCTAATTGTTTTTATATTTTTAGTAGAGATGGAGTTTCACCATGTTGGCCAGGATGGTCTCGATCTCTTAACCTTGTGATCCACCCACCTCCACCTCCCAAAGTGCTGGGATTACAGGCATGAGCCACCGCACCCGGCCCAAGTTTTATTTAATTTAATTCATTTCCAGATGGAGATGAAAGAACACAGGCTTTGGAGTCAGCCCAATCCAAGGTCCTGCTCTGGCTCAGTAACCTTTTCCCTGTGGGACCTTGGTTGGATTACCTCACCTCTCTGAGCCTCAGTATCTGCGGTCAGGGACTATAGAATGTCCTCCCCGGCCTCCCCATTCTACATAGTAAGGGCATCAGGACGACCCGGTTACAGGCTCATTTCCCAGCCTCCCTTGCAGCTAGACGTGGCCACGTGACTACATTCTGGCCAATGGGATGTGAGGAAAATGCTGTGCCACTTCCTGGTTGTTCAAATAAATAAGTGAATAAATAATGAGCCCGTGAGCCAGCGGAGGAGGAGATTCAAGTTCCGGGGAAGGATGCATGCGTTCAGCGAGTGTTTAACTGAGTGCTTCTGACGTGGCAGACTCTTTCTAGGTGCTGGGGACACAGCAGTGAGCAAAAGAATAGAACAGCTGAAGTCTCATGGAGCCAGAAGTCTAACGGGAGGGACAGAAGAGATACAAGGAAACAAGATGCTTTTGCGGGGTGCAGGGCCGGG